TTTTTCCTGCTGGTGCAGCCCCTGGGATGCATGTGGACATGAAATGTCCCTTCTCCTAAAAAGAACTCGCATTCATTTCTCTGCAGCCCCACTGTGGATCCTAAAAGTGTMTGTAGTTTATTTATCAGACAGTGGACCTGTGACAGCAAAAAAAAAGGCCTTCTAAGTGTCTCTGTATATACATATGAGGAGGTTTGGTCCTTTTCACCAGGAAATGAAGCGGTGAATTTCTCAGAAACTCTGAACARCCCATCCACAGTCTTGTTGCAAGAAAAATTGCCCTGGTGTCTTTCACATMACTGCTACAGATGCTCTTTGCCCCGTGCACATCTGGGGCCATGAGATCCAGTGAAAACACAGGCCCATTCCTGCTCAGTGTGGATCCTGACACAGCAACTCAGTTTCCCCTGCTTCTTCTCTGGTCCCACAAGTTCCCTGTGCCCCRTGAACCTGGTTTTGGCCTCTCTGATGTTTGTCTGTTCCCACATTTGAATACATCACCTCACYTGGTCCTGCCAGGGTTGTGCAGGGGCAGCAGAGCGCTGGGATGGGCTCAGCTCTGGGGCCAGCACCCCACATCTGCAGCAGGAACCACACCAGTGTTGGCAAAGAGCTTTTTCCACRGTAGGGGAAGGCACAGGCACAAAGCTGCCCATCTTTTTGAACATTTATGGCCCACAGCTGCCAGGAAGAGCAATGGCTGTGTCATTGCATTTCTGGGAATCCCTGCTCTTTAAGATCCCAGTAAGGCAGGTGCAGGATGCTCCATATGACACAGGAGCACCGGGGCATTRGCGGCACGATGGGGATTTTCACAGTGTTTCCACCAGGGCAGTGCTTGCAGCCCATGTCCTGTTACACTCGTGGCTGTCAGATGGTGTTACCATTCTTTTCAGCCACCCCTTTACGTTTCCATCAAGGCAGAGCAGCCTTTTTGCTAATGACATGTGCCTCATGTTCCCTACATACAGCGYTCTCAGCAGCTCAGTAAAAATTTGCTCAACTTCAGCGGGCACTTTTCAGAGCAGGAAGCTCATGCTGCAGCCTCAATGGAAAGTTACTGTGGCTGCCTGGTGCCCTCGCAGCTGAGATGCACTGGGTTAGAACCGCTGCTGCCGTGGTTATTTGTGTTACCTTGGATATTCCTTTAAGCTCTGCAGAATCAYTAATTCAGTATAAAAACAGGCATCTACTTTCCTCTTAGGCTGAGACTGTTTAACCATTGGGGTTTTTTGAGATGGATGAGGTAAAATTCACTGCAGTGTTGACTCCTACTGATTTTCTCTCCAGCAAAGAAGGCCTTTTCATCTACATCTGGTTCTCCAGAGGAAGCTATAAACAGGTCTTTGAATTGGCCAAACAACAAAGATTTAAACTCTCAACAAAAGGCAGGGAAACAAAACTCCTTATCAGACACTAAATTATCTGAAGCAAAAGAGTCCCAAACTCTCAACAGCTGGGCAGAAATATGTACAAAGAGAAGCTGAAGTTGCACAGCTTTCACCGTGGCCTCCCATGGCAGCAAGAGAAATCCTGACCCAGCTTGTGCACAGGAAGGAAAGGGAGCTGGCACATTCTTGCCTGTATTCGAGGTACCCAAAAAGCTGACTGGGGTCCTGCCTTCCCATCACTCTGCTCCCATCTCATCCAGCGCAACCTATTCCAGAAAATGCCCGGGATAAAAATGCTGGAAAGGATTGGCTAGAATGAGGAGGAGGGGAAGAAGAAAGGTTATTTCCTGTTAGCTGCTTTCAGATTTGTGTTTGCTCCCCTTCCTGATCTTATCAAAACCAACACAGCAAATGCCCTACAATCGGCTCAAGAGAAAGAGARGAGTGAGGAGTCCCTGCAGCCCCAGGAAAAGCACCACCTGAGGGCTCTGTGGGGTGTGATCCACCACCAGCAGAGGAGAGCATCTGTCTGGGGAGCACGATCTGTGACAAATCCTGGGGAGAGGAGGAACAAGGAGACAGCAGCAGCAGCTACTGCGTGCTGGAGGACATCATTTCGTACTGCCTGAAGAGGCTGCAGGATGGAGGACAGACCCTGCCTGAGATCCCTGCAGCCTCCCCACCTACTTATGGGAAGAAAAATCATCTCTGTCTGCCATTACTCACCACCACTTCTGCACCCTCAGTCTGTAAGCCCTTGCCCTTTCTTTCCCTTGGATCCTGCACAGCAATCAATCCATCTGTGTCATTATCCCCTTCCTGTCTCTGTCCTGTCATGGTTCATCCTGACACAGCAGTGACAGCAGTAGCACAGGCTGTTCCACCCAGCAGTGCTCCTACTCCCRGCTCCGTGTATCCCCTTGGGAAAGCCTCCACCAACTTCTCAAGTTTGCTCAAGGTGAATTGACTGCCCACTCACACATCCCTGAATCCCACCCCTACTGTCCCAGATTCCCTCACCACAGGCTTGCCTGTTGTTTCAGAGGAGAAATCTGATGCCTGTCATTCTGTGATTGAAAGCTTTCACAGGAGCACAACACCAACTCTTCGTTCTCTTTGCTTCAAGTCATGCAGTTGATGTCATTGCTGCAATTCTCTTCACGCGGATAAAAACACCATCACAACATCTTTTTCTTTCTTTCTTTTTTGTTTGTTTGAAGATATCTTGATACATGACTTGATACTTCTCAGTATCAAAAAAAAAAGAAAGCTTTTAAAACTGCTTCACTCTTCAGTTTTGGGAAAATATGTACTGGCCTCAAAGTTGTATAAACCAAAGATGAGACAGCAATGCTTGCTGGAGAATGGGCATCCAGCTGTATTTCTTTATTCCATTTGCGTATGATATGGGAGTAGACAATAATTCTCTCTAATGTACTGCATTTGCAATTCCAAAAGATTTGCTGAAAACTGCCTCCAAGTAATTCTTGGTTTGTAATGCATCTAGTTTGTGTAGTGTTAGACAATACTAAAACTATCAGTAGCCATCATCAGTTTTAAAAATTCTGCATAGAATTTCCAATAGTAACTATATTTTTATTGGCTATAAAACACACACTTTAGACTACAACCCCATCCAGTATTTTATCATGGGCATTGGCTAAGTGTGACAAGGAATATGCTAACCAGAAAAATAGATCAATTTGAAAATAAGCTGACATTGGCCACCCGTATTTTCCACCTCTGCAGATGGGAACATTCCTCACACTGGTSTTTGGCACAATGAGAACTGCAGCTCTGCCAGGTACATGAACTTGCAAGCATAATGGAAGATTTTACACAGTCAGGTTCCTGCTGACCTCATGGTTGATGAGAGAGTGGGGGAACCTCAGGGAGCAGAAGCTGATTGGGGCTGAAATCCCACTTCAGGCAGGAAAGGTCTTCATGAAGGTGACAGTGATGSTGTCCGTGCATAGGCAGAACTGCTCTGGGCTCYACACAAACTCTTTACTGTGAGGGTGGGCAGGCCCTGGCACAGTGACCCAGGGAAGCTGTGGCTGCCCCATTTCTTGAAGTGTTCCAGGCCAGGTTGGGGCTCCAAGGAATCTCCGAGGAACCTCCAAGCGAAAGGTGCCCCTGCCCATGACAGTGGGGGTGGAATTAAATTAAGGTCCCTTCCAACCCAAACCTTTCTACGAATCTGTGATTTGCTTGCTGGAAAAGTACAAATATTTAGAAAGGCTTAGGACCTTCTAGGTTCTCAGTGAAGACACCTCTGCAGTCTCCAGCCATATTCTCTGCCTGAGAGAGTCATGTAATCTTGCAGAAAGGAAATGCAGTGTTTACTGTGAACAAAACCAATGCAGGACGCTGTGGTTGTCAAAGGCCCCAGGGTCCCCACAGGGTGATTGTGTTGTTTCCCAGCCTGGTTTATACCAGAGGGGAGCATTGTGTGTGCTCAGGGTGGGGAAGTTTGATTGCACCCAGGCACTGAGCAGCCTGGGTAAGGCACAAGCAGTATCCAAACACTAATCCWGGCTTCTGCAATGGCACATCATGGAATTCTGCTTCAGACAGAAATGGGTGATGCTGCCCTTCGTGCCCGCTTCTGTTACCAGTTCTGTGTGTCCATCTCTGGGGCATCTCACATCTCCCCATCTGGTGGGAACAATACTTACAGYCTGGCTCTCACAGCACCACCACTTACAGAATTTGTTGGTTCATTTTAAGGAAATGGTTTTAAAATCATCCATCAGTGACGGTGCTTGCCACAGCTGAGTCACACATGAATCTCCTGTTTGCTTGTTTCAAAATGAGCTGCAATAATTCATAAAAGGTGGCATGAGCTTACCATGTGCAGGCCTAAAATCTAGAGGGGTTTTTTCAACTACACTGAGATTTCTATCAAAGTTCACAMAACCACCGCTTGCACATCTCTTCAGTGCAACAGATGCTTCATTTGCTGTTGTAAATTGGCCTTTATCAGTTTTATCTGCTCTCAGACTCACCAGCYTTTACTCTGTTGTTTCTGTGGAGCTGAGGGTGACAGGGAGGGCTGGTCCTGCAGCTCCCCACAAACTGCTGGCTCTGCTTCTGTGCTGGGCTCCGAGGGAGCTCCAAGGGCTGCATCCACAACCRCTGGGACATCAGGCACAGCAGCCTGCAGCAGAGGCTGCAAAACAGRGCAATGTTCCATTACTGATATGTAACATGAGAGTTTTGTGGGGATGAGTTCATCCTGAATGCTAAAAGAAATCCAAAGGGACCATTCCCCTTTTTCTGCTCACCGTTCTACAACACATTTCTTTTTTGCTTTCACTTTTACCTTAAGTCAAATAAGTTCATTGTCTGTTCTCCTTTTATATTCATAAACAAAWTGAGTTACATGATGAAAAGCCCCCATGTTGCATTTCATGTCAGTTGATGCTTAGCACAAGCCACAAAGCAAACTCCTCTCTTTCCACCTCAGCTCTGGTCAGCAGTAGCTTGTTATCACCTTTCCTGTACTTGGCTGTGTGTGAATTTGAAAATAAGCCTGTACTTTCAGCGAAAACCAGGAGACATCTATTAAATAACAACACTTACACATTTCCAAAACAAGGTAGAAAACAGATCTTTTTATTTGGAACAAAATCATCKCAGGGGAAAGGAAAAAAAAAAACACCAGAAAAGAACAAAAGCTGGGCGTGAACATGTACAGTAAAAGCAAGAGCACAGACTGCATCACTTCTCTGCCACCCTCACAGTCACTGAAACTTTTGCTTTGTTGCTGCATGGCACTTTCAGTGGTAATGGACAGAAAACCAACTGTAGTCCAATCTCTCTCACAAAGACCTCTCACATCTCAGACTCCCATCTCAAAGGGAAAAMCTCTTCCAGGGATTACAGTGGTGGTGGCGTTCACACTGCTGGGCAGCCCAGCCCTCCCAGGGCTGGCAGCAGGAAGGCAGCACCAGGACAARCTGGAGCTGGGATGCAGCAAGACAAGGCTGGCCGGGCTCTCTCACCCTCACACTGAAATGCTGCCATCTTCTCCAGAGCAGCTCRGAGCACGGTTCAGCCTTTGGAGCATGTGCTGGAGTCGACTGTCCCCTGCCTGCCCCTGCCAGAAAGTGCAGAAGTGAAGCAAAGCTGTGTCTCCCATTTGGGTGACCCTGGCCCRGTGACACAGTTCACCCAGCATCGCTTCTGTGCTGCCACCCCAAGYACTCTGTGTCACTTTTTTGTCACTCAACTCACAGCCTTTGAGGAATGTTTATACTGAGAGGAGTTAGAACAGCACCRCAAGGAAAAGAATTATCACCTCTCTCTTACCGTGGAAAATTTGCTTCCTGCAGCAGCCTTGAAAAGTGGAGACAGGCTGAACCACCACCAACACAGTACATAAGAGCCAAAAATCCCTTCAAGAGAGTTACAGGACAAGGAAACAAGAACAACCACCTCTGGCTGGGTGTCAGTGATGCAGAGCCTTGGCAAGCACACAGAGATGGATGAAGCATTCCCAGGTGAGCATGCAGCCATCCTGCCCGGGAGGGAAGCCTCCAGTTTGGTTTGGATTCTGGTGGGGTGCTCACAGCCCTGCTTGGGTGACATTTACCAGGCACATCTTAAATCCATTCCCAAGGGATTCACAATGCCAGCACAATATAAACCAGAAGCAAAATGACAAGGCAAGAGAGGAACGCAGCACACACATCCCTGTCCCTTTTAATCCCACTCGGTACCACCTCTCCTTTCACTCCACCATGCCTTTCTAGCCCAGCAGTCTGATTTAACACCAACAGGCAATCAATTTAACTCCTCACTCTGACTACTGAAATTGTCTTACAAGTAAATATCTTGCTCTTACAGCACATCCTTCAGCACTCCCTGCAGCCTGACAGCCCTGCAGCCCCTGGCACCTTTGCCTGGGACTCAATCCCTGCCCTCTCCTAGGTCTGCCCCAGCTGCTCCACAGGCACAGCTCCCCTGAGCAGAACAGGACATGCGTAGCAGCAAGACTTACCTAAGAGATTCTATAAATTGCTGCTGTCTGTGCAAACACCACAGCGTGGAACAAGCCTACGTGCACAGGCAGATGGCCAGCTTCATCAGCTCACAGTAGCTAAGCCACTACACTAAAGGTACTAAATGCTTGCAATGATAAACAAATATCAGCATTAAAATCAACATTTTTGCCAAAATCGCACCCCCAAGCCCCAGGCCCCCTCCTGCCATGGGCAAGCGAGCGAGTGATGGCGCTGGGTGGGCTCAGGGTTCTGGTGAAAGGTCACCTGTACCCCCAGACATTTGGGGCACCAAGGGGGGAGCAAAGCCAGCATCACCCTGGCTGTGCATCACCCAGCAGCCCCCACCAGTGCTCCTGCTCCAGGCAGCAAGAGGGGAGGGCCAAATCACAGGGTCTGGAGCTCAGAGGAGCACCCGGCACAACAGACACCAAGCTGAGAGCTCCTTTGAGCTTCTTTGGCAGGGCCTGGGAAAAAATGCCCTGAAATCTCCCAAGAAAAGGCTTTCTCAGGAAATTTCTGGGACTGGCAGGCCACCTCAGCCTGCCTGTGGTGCCTGCCCATGGCTGACACAGACAAGGCAAGGCATGGGGTGGGCAGGGAGAGGGAAGAACCTCCTGTCTCATTCCAGGCTGTCCCCTGGGGCTCCTTGGTTTGGCTGCAGCTCTGTTATCAGGCAAAGCATCAAAGAGCTGCCCCAGTTTGTTTGTTGGTGAACCTGTCAGCCCACGACAGTGYGGCCTTGAAGCCACGTGTGTGTGCTTTTCTTTACATTTTCTTTTTTCTGCTTAAATGAGGTTAGAAGGWCTGACACCTCTCTTTTCCCTGCTAAAATTTTCCCAACCAATTCCTACACACAATGAGACTATGGGATGCAAAGGACAAGTGTCACAGGCTTCAGGGCAGAGCAGCAAGCACATCAGGTCAGTCATCAGTTGGATCTGGGAAACAGTCTGAGGCATCCTCCTGGCTTTCCACATCAACGATGACCTCAGGCATTTCCTCAGCTTCCATCTGCACTGGTAAGTTTTCTTCTGGCTGGGGCTCAGCGCCTTGAGCAGTCTGGGCAGCATCTGGAAAAAGGGGAAATGGTTTGTCCCCCTGCAGGCTGCCCAACCCACTCAGACCCCTAAGCCCAGGTACCTGCAAGTTAAATTTCAATTTTCTTTGTAGCTACTCATTTASTGAGCTATCCAGAATGCCTTTAGGTACTTTGGTACTGAGGCTSTCTGGTCTCTTAGTACCAAAGTACTTTAGTTCTGCTGGTACTAAACCTTCAGTACCAAAAYACTACAGCCAAATCTATCCACGTACATCTGAATAATTAAAGCTGACAGCACACATTCAGTATGTTCTCACCTACTTTCCACATGGACCTCTGCATTTTACTTAATTGTAAAAAATTTAAATATGGGCTACTTTTTTAGTCTAACTTATAATGTGTGAATTTTTTATTAAAAGCCCTATACTTGAAGTATATTAATATTAAACAATGACCTGAAAGACTTCTTTTTTTCTCTCTTTCTTGCTCTGTGTTCATGAGTAGCATTTAATATTTTGAAAGCAGAGCAAAGAGCATCCAAGGTTAGACATAAAGCTGAGCTATAGGAGGCTGTGCAAGTACAGTGAAGGACATCAGAAAAGGAGACAGCAGTGCTGAGACCAGGCTCTGACCTCTGAAATGCTGCTCCAGTTCATGATATCTCTGCTAATCCTACTTCAGCTGATGCTGGTGCATCACYAGGCAAGGTGCTGCCAGCATTTGTGTTTGGGAAACAAAACTGAGGGAAACATAATGCAAAAAATGGAGTATTAATATCAAGCACTTACAGAACAGGAGATTTCTGAAGGGTTTTTATCACCATCCTCTCTTGACCATATTGTGCTAAAGCTCTGGGGGGTTTATGCTCAATTTCTTTGAAGAATTTAAAATGTGACCATATTCCCACTTTAGTCTCAATTTAAGGAAGCAAACAAGCCTCTGGCTTTGATGGGATTTAGCTGTGTTTACAGCTCAGCATATTGGCTCATGCTGTCCTGGAGATGACTGCTTACAAAAACAATGCCGATTATTTTTTTAAATGTTGCTGATGAGAACGGGAGAGGGCTGAGAAAATTGCAGGAAACTGCTGAGTTTTGGGGGGCTGTTGTTTTTGAGGCACGTGTTTTAGCACAGGAGACACCGGCACAGGCAGTCTGCAGCCTGCTGGCAGTACCGTCTGTGGGATGCTGGTGGGATGGCTCCTCTACCTCTCAAGGAAGGTACTAAAGRCTGTCCTGCTGGAATTCCTGTCACCTGGGCAAGGTGCAGCCCCTCCACCCCCACCAGCCACACACAGACACCRTGTCTCTCCTAAACAAGGCATCAGSCCAGCTTCAAACAGGGCATGGGGCTCACCAGGCTTCGGAGGACGGTCAGTCTGGGCAGCTTGAGCCTCCACGCGGTCTCCATTGGGGGGGCTCTTCATGCCTTCGCTGGACACCACTGACATTGTTAATCCATCATCCTTCTCCTCCTCTGTAAAACCAAAAACAGAGGCTTGGAGGAGGAGGCCTCCCACCCCGCAGCCTCAGCAGGTCCACACCTCCAGCACGAGTTTTGTCCCCTCCTCCCGCGGCGCTGGCCCCGCTCCCGGAGCACACAGATGCCGAGAACGGAGGGTCACTGCCAGCCTGCCAGAAACCAGGCTGGCCATGCTGGCAGRAGCACAGTTTGAGGTGGCACAGGCAGGTTGCACTCAGGGACTGCCATCAGAGACCTTCAGGTCATTTCAGGATCACACCTGAACGAGGCTCCGTTTTATTGCCCACAGAAAAGGTTTTGCTTTGGGTTTTTTTTCTGGCCAAAGGCACATGGTGAGGCACAAGTGTGAGGTTAATAAAGGAAAAGTAGGATTTAACTCAAAACTCTGATGGCTGTAAGAGCTGCCTATCAGCAAGCTCCACCAGGTCAAGGGAGGACAGGCTGGAGGACAAGCAGCCACCCAGCTGARACCAGTTTACCCCAAGGCCACATCAACCCCAGCCTGTACAAATACAGCCCCCTCCAAGCCTCATCTCAGGGTGGTCACAGCATTCCCTGCTCACCTGAAGGCACTGGGATGAACTTGTGTCTTCTCTTCATGCAGCAACATATGGCTGCAGGCAAAGCCACCAGCAGGATGAGGACGCCCGCTGCACAGCCTGCCAGGATGTAAATGAACCCYGGGTACTGCAGCAGATCTGCAAGAAGGACACAGCAGCGTTAGGTACCGGGGTGGACAAAGCTCTTTTCTCCCAGTGGGAGAAACCCTGCAACCAGATTAGAGCTTGTGGACATCWCTGTGGCTTTGGGCCGGATCAAGACAGCTGACACGTGAACAGTGGCACTTTGTGATTTATGTCACATCGTTTAATTATGGGCTGCAATTTTTCATCAAGAGAAGCCTGTGTGCCTAAGCTGAGTGCATTCACTTCTGCTGCTCTGATCACTGACATCTCAGATAACTTGTAAGATTTAATCAAATTTAACAGKGAGTGTGGTGGTTTGAAAGATACTACATTTCAACAAGTTGTATGAAAATGAGCAGCTGAGGAGGGRGACCTAAGGGAGCATCTCCTGCTGAAGGAAAAGCTGCAGAGCCAGCCCTCASAGCTGGTATGAGAGAATCAGCTTAGGACAGTCCTGTAATGCCTGTGCCAGCCTCAGAGCACGTCAGGTCAGAGCCTGCACTTCCTCAGGCACCAAAGACTGCGCCTACTCRCGCCAGAGCTGTAGGAAAGAAATCCTTCCCTGACTCTGCTGCTGCTCGGGAAGGATTTCACTCCGTTCCCTGCCCAGCCGGGAGTGCACAGAACACGCAGCAGGAGCAAGGGCTGCAGATGGCYGAGCAGAAGCGCAGCACAAGCCCCTGGTGGTTCTTGCCCAGCTCAGCAGTCCTGGCTCAGGGGCAGACCCCTCGTTGGCCGCTGCTGAGCWGGGAGCTGGCAGAGAGCATCACAGACCTGCACAAGAGAGAACATCCAGGCTCGCTCCTTTGCCGAGATCTTTCGCTCCAGCCTGCAGCCACCAGGAAAGCTCTGCTGCGCACATGCAAAGCACTCCACACCACTTTAACTGTAATATAAAATCCTTTAAACTCCCTAGGGTAAGCCTGTGCCATCCCTTTCTGAATCATTTAACTCCTCTTTAGCAGCACACATGCCTGCACAGCACTGCAGCATCCAACGAGCTCATTTGGAGCTTATTTTTGAGCCCTCAAAAGCACTCATTGCTCTGTATCTCTCGAGGCTGGAAAGGATTTCAAATGTTCCAGGATACACTACACACCATCATACTCCACCTACCCATGAGGACAATAAAAACAACTGCACACAGGTGCTCATGGTATTTTCAGAGTGCTTGTTCCAGTCTCTTTAAGAAATTACCCAAGTTAAAAATATCAATATTCAAAATTAAAAACCTTCAGCAAGTCAGAAATAATTTTCCTAGTTATTTGTGTTGATGAAAGCTTACAGAATATTGCCAAAGTTATAAATATGGTTAGAAATTTTTTTCCTGAATGTTTTTTTTCTAAAAATCTGCCACTTTTTAGAAGATGAAATTTTTCTGAGATAAAATACTGTGTTAAAAATAAGCAATAAACAAGTGATCAGTCAATAAAAGTCTTTTGTATACATTGAGTTCTTAACTTCTGAATCCTCTGTGTTAGATCCTGTGTGTTCAGAGCCCTTTGGTGCCTGGGAAGTTTATGGCATTTCTGCCAAATCRTTTTTTRGTAACAATTATTCAAAATTAATTTMATCAGCCAACAGGTTGCCCAAATGGAATTTTTTACATAAATCTTGTCCCCACAGTGGAAAAAGTAAATTCAGGCCTTGCCTAGAACAAATAATAACCCCCAAAAATAATAACTTAGTCTTCAATTAATTTAAATGAACCCATTTCTCTCTTTGGTTCATTTTACTGGTATTCAGAATTGCTTTAATTCACTTTTTGCAAATGTGGTTGCATTTGGTAACTAAAAARCTGAATCATTGCTRGTTTCTCTCTCAGRCCCTTCCAAATACTCGTCCATGCAYGTGTSCCTCCCAGCAGAGACATCGCTGAATCCCCTCGTGAGCTTTCCAAGAGAAAACATGGAACAGATATCGSATCCAGGGGACTGGCAACCACCCAGGCTCAGCTATGGGATCTGTCAGCACTCGAGTGATTTATCACGGGGCTCGACTCAAGAGCTCATGGATGTTCCCATCCTTGTTCCCCAGTGCCCCAGCCTTGGGTCTGACTGCACGGAGCAGCCTCCGATCGATTTAACTGGGTACAATTCAGATCACTGCTCACAGCCACAAATGCCAGATTGGCACAGCTCGGCCAAGGTGACAAAGGGACCAGGCATGGACAGCCCACAGCGTTTCTGCTGAGTGCCACCACGCTGGACACGGGGCTTAAGTCAGGAAGTTTGCTTTCACACCAACTGCATGCCAGCCACAGAAAAACAGACAGAATCTGCTGTGGAGCTGGAGCGTCCCAGATGATTTCTATARTGCTAGGTGCTATTAAAGAGTACAGTTTCTCCAGTACCTGARGTGATTAAATTAATTACAGCTAAATTAATCAAAAACCTTATGGTTAAATTATGTCTGTAGCTTTGATACCYATCTTTGCTGCCAGAGAGTAAAAGAACCTTCACTACTGGAGGTGTAAATTAAATTACATCCAAGGATCCAGATTTTCTGTCTCATTAAATTCTGGTCTCATTCAAGTAGAATACTCAGCATTTACAAATAGTTTGCAAATGGATAAAGTCTCAGGCTTCTCACAGAGCTACATGTCTGAGCAAGGATATGGAAGGGAAAAATATCCTACATTCCTTCAGTAAATTACTTGTGTCTTTGCCCACTTCCRATGGTATGAGGCTGATGGAGAGACATTTGTATAGATCAGTAAAGCTTTTGTGCTTCTGGATTAGATAAGGAGAGAAGAGAGAAGGCAAAACAGCTCAACTGAGTCCAKCAACAACAGAAATTAACAAGAGGAGGTGTTTTTATAGAGATGCACRGAAACTGGAAGGCATCTGGGTCACGGATGCATGTCAGAGTATGAAGCAGCCTGTGTTTCTAAAGTGGATCAGAGGATTGGTGCACAGGAGGGTGCAAATCTCCATCACCAGAAAGTGGGAAAAGAGACAGATGGAGATCCATCCTTGGTGCAGAGCTGGGTAAAAGGATTTCTTCGGCAAACTTATCCCATCTGTGGCTGTACACTGTGTCAGTCCAAGGCACAAGAGGGAGAAGGAAACCAAGGGGTCACTGTCTAGAGGCAGGATCTGRTAACTCTGGAAGACAGCTGCCAGAGGACAGAAGAGTTTGGTATTTTGAGGACACCAACAACTCCTCACTTTGCTGCTGCAAGAGACCAAAAGGAAGACTTTCTGGAGGTGCCGTTACTCACCGTAGCTGCAAGAGAGTGTAATGGGCCTGGTCCTCGTGATGCTGTTCCCCTTCAAAAGTTCACACACAAACTCCCCTGGCTCAGTTTTGTCCAGGTGAACTTTCTTCCCAGCATCCTTAATGCAAGCCCCCTCGGCTTTCAGGTGGGTGCCGTTCAGCAGCCACCGGAACACCACGACCTCGTCGCTGCTCACGTTGCAGGACAGCTCTGCAGTTCCATCAGGGAAGCACTGGATCCCAATGGTCGGCTCTGGTCACACAGGGGGCAGGGAGGAAAGAGAGAGGTAAGGAAGGACTCAGCAGTGAACAGGAGCTGGACAGAAGCTTTCCTCACCAGCACTCTCACTGCCATCATATTTATTGTATCAAGGGAGCACACAAACAGGTAATCAGACTCTTCAGTGCTGCGCTCTGCCCTGAAATGCTTAACAGTGCCCACCCCAACCCTGCTAGTCTTGGCCCCCATTTTGGGAATGTCACAAAAYCTGGTATCTCTTCATTTTCCTTACTGACACTGAAAAAACCCCAAAAAGTAAAATCCCCTGGCCCAAAAGAATGGTGGAAACATCCAAAGCATCTGCCAGCTAGARGCTTCCTCTGTAATCAGCAAATAATTGTGGCTTCAGAGGAGACTCAACCCTCTCCTCCACCAAAGGTTTGTACTTTTGCTGTCACTCTGTCTCTTCTTCCATTTTAGAGAGGAACTGGTGCAAATCATGGCCAACATGGGTACCAAACAAGACACCTGCAGCTAGATGGAATACCCAGGCTAGGACATTTTAAAATGAATCAATGAATCTTTGCCCTTACTACATTTCCCTGAATCTCTCTCTTTCAATCTACTACAAGGAGAAAAACAATTTCCTACATTTGCTACTTTGCAAATACAAGCTAGATAGAGAACTGATATAGTTTTATGACAGCAGGAGTAACATTGAGAACATCCATCCATGGAAATAAGCTCAGAAATCACTTTCTTACACTAGGACATCATCTTCAGCTAAAATTCCCTGTCTCCAGGAACATGTTGGCTGTGAAAGCTTTTCCCTGYCTTAGGGGTGGCAACAGAACATAAGGAGGAGGCAAATGTTCCCAAAGCAAATCCACTGAAATGGAGGCAAAACCCAGGACACTTCTGCAGCCTTTGACTACTTCCAGTCTAAGCCCCTGTTCTTCGTGCCAAGGAGTCACATCTTTGACCTGCTCTGCACAGCAGTTCCGCCTGTTTGCACCCAAAARGTGTGAGGGTTCATTTGTCTCCACTGAGCAGTTTGCTCAGACATTTTCATTTCAGTTTATGCGCTTCAATTTATCTCAGAAGCCTRTGTGAGTCGGAGCCCTGCAAAAGGAACGGTGGGGATAAGGAGCAGAGAATGGTCTCTGCCTGCCTGGAGCATCGCTCAGCAGGAGCACAAACCCTCCTAGATGTATTCTGTATTAACCTTCTCTGTATTAACCCAGGCAATGAGCTGGGTCCTGTACAGAAGGGACTTTGTCCTCGCACCCTGCAGCTGGATGAGTGGGCACAGCAGAGGGAACAGGAATTCCGAGGCCACAGGGGATGGGAGGGAGACTGGCATGGCTCCCAGAGGCACCTGTACCTCCTGCAAGCTCAAGCAAATTCTTAAGAAGAATTTAAGRGCTTCCAGCCAGGCTCACAAGTTCAAAAGCTCTTTGCTGCTAAGAAGGCCACTTACCAAATACTTGCAGYGTAAAATTTTTGGTGGTGTTCTGAAAAACAAATCCGTATTTTCCCTCGTCGCCTTTCTCCACACTCCTCAGCACCAGGGAGCCGTTCTCCAAGTTMAGGCATCTACTGGCAGAAGTGCCACATTTGGCCAACAAAGTGTCATTTAAGACAGTTGTGAAGCATTTCTTATCCTCCTTGCTCATGCTGGAGAAGTCCTGCAGGTTTTGGATTCCCAAAGAAAAGACAGCTGAGCCGCCGCTGAGCACACCAGTCCGGATGGCAGAGCCTGAAAGGAGAGYAAGCTTGTCATGTCCATCCATCCCCTGCCTCCCAGGAAGGCAAATGTCCAGTAGGAGGGACACACCCAAACCTAGTGACAGGTTGGATCACCAGAGACTGAAAATCAGAGGAGTGGAACGCCTTCCATAAGGTTCAGCCCCCCCACCTCGATAACACGGGAATGGAACACACACCACGCACACAGGGAAACAGAAGGATGAACAGCTGGTCTTTCCTCTCCACAAATTGAACATGACCACCTATCACTCCCCATCAGAGATGAGAGACTGTGCAAAGAAAGATCCTTGGGGAATCAGTGCCATGGATCCTGTACAGAGGGTAGCAGAAACAGCTGCAGGTGCACGGCTGCTTTTAACCAAAGAGTAAGGTCGCAGTTTTACCTTGACCAGGTCTCATGTTATTAAGTTGTTCTGTGTAAATCAGAGGTGGGTAAATGGCAGGGTGACAGCTTGGGGGTTAACCCAAGGTCACACCAAGGGTTGGGAGCTGGACCACATTGCTCTCCAGCCGGCACAAGGACCTTCCATTCCCCACTGAAGCGCTGCTACTAACGCGGGGCACTCAGAAAGTACAATATTTTATTATCGCTCGTTTACTAGAAAAATAATCTGTCTTACTTTGGTCTGACTTCCCCTTTCATGCATTAGCAGCTACACTATTTGATGTCACCCCAAACCTTGTAGCGTCCTTAAAAGATCTTGGTACAAAATTAAGGTGTCTGCTCATCTAGGCAAATCTGTGCCAACCCCATAAAGAAAAATCCTACTTACCTTGAGTAACAGTTATTATCACCAGCAAGCAGAGCAGAGTAAAAGGAGAGACGAAATCCATTTTAAAGAGCTCCTTGCATCATATGCTGAAGAGACGGTCTGGCTACAGAGCTCAGTGAATATAGTGTTCGGGAAATGATGTCAGAAGCAAGAGGGGAGGAAAAAAAAGAAAAGAAACTCCATAGTGGACAGATTGAATGATGTTTCAAAATAGACCTGCAAGGTTTTGGGTGACTGAACTCGGGCTGAGCCAGTGCAAGCCACAACATGCTCTGCAAAGGTAGCTGCGAGTGTGAGAATAGGGCTGAGAGGGGAGACAAAAATATCTCCAGGTCAGCTCACCCCATTTGGGAAGATGGTAACGCCAGGAGCGGACAAAGGCAAACACCGATTTCCTTCATCCTTTTCTAGTTTATCAAAGTGCAGCATCCCCACCCTTGGAGGAGAAACCAGCCCAGTCAGATAAAGCACCACACATGCAAACCAGCTGGTTTTCTGAAACACTAAAACTAATCACTCCTTGACACCTCAGCAGCATCAAGGAGGTGTGGGACAAGGCTCTCCCTCTGCTCCCAAAGGCTGTGTTGCCAACGTGAACTTTGCCAGGCTCTTTTAGTGACTGAGTGGGACCTGCCATCAGRAAAGGCTCCGTAGCCACCCCAGGCAAAGAGCAAACCTTATGGGAAGTTAAGTTACACGGCAAGACTAAACTCAATGCAGCCCTAAAGCCACCCTGGCTCTGTTTGGAGCGCAGATCTCAGGGATGAGATTGAAAAGCCAGCCCTGAAGAAACTGTGAATCAGTTATCTGGAGGACCACACAGGGCCAGACACTTTGCACTCTTTGAGATGGTTTAAAGCCCACTGGGTCTTGCACTGGGTGCTGAGGTGAGTGACACAAACAACAGTAGGAACTGTCTCGCCCTTTGGGGGAAGTAAACTGGGGTAGCCTTAGAGCCAACATCTGGACCCTTTCAGATGCTCAGCACATGTGCTGGGCAATAACTACTACAGCTGGGCTCAGGATGCAGCTGGGAACCCTATCCTTTTGTGTCTCTGACACAGACACAGCCCCTTAAGGAAGCTCCACACAATGGATTCATGTGTACACACGCATTTCCAAGGAATGGGTAAACCCCTTGTCTGTAGTCTGCACTATTTTTCAGACAATCTGGCTGTGCTTGATAAATTCCACATTTCAGCCCATGGTTTGGCTGCTCTGACTTCTTATCAATGACAATTACATCTCTCCTCCAGCTCCCAGTGTCCCAAATTTACAAGTTTGTTCAAGACTATCACAGCAATATGCTGTCTTTATCATACGTGCAGAGGACAGGCCTAAATTGATCTAAGATGAGACAGAAATAGACTTCTCTGAGAAAAGCAGTGAAGTGAGTCTGCAGACACTCACAGCAGTGCAGAGGAAGGGAGAGAGAAAAAAGTATTTACAGCAAGAAACACTTTCATTTCCTTCTGTGCTGCTGAAATAACACGAAGAAAATCTCTCTCAAACACCCCTGCAAGACTGGGGCTAACCATCTGCCTCGGATGTGCACATTCAAATTCATTTCACCTTCATGCTTGAGGGGCAAGCTGGTAGAGCTTAGGGTTGCAGTGCWGTGGTGGAGACAGGAGACAGAACAGACAGCGTATGCAGGGTCACTTCAAAACCCAAAATGCCCAGAATCTCAGAAAAACAAGACGCAAAAGGAGTCTGCATAAAGATTAATCCAGGAAGAGTTTGTCTTCTCTTCCAGCCAATGACAGCAGAGCCCATTTACACATTTGCAGTAAAATCCAAGAAAAATACGGCCTTTCTGCTGCCGCTCTGCTGTTACAGAAGTGACTCTGCATGACTGTGACATTGCGGTGTCCTGCATTTCGTCTCCCTCTCAGCRACTCCGGGGCAAATGAGTACATTTATGAGTTCAATATTCCTGACTGCAAGTGCCCCATACATCACCCAATATATGAAGTACCATTAGGCTTCTTCTGTCCCTCACATCCTTGCTAGC